AAAAACACATGCATTTATACACTCCAACAACACTAAACAATGTGGTGTACAAACATACAACATGGTTAAACACAAAGAGAAATCAACTCACAACTGATTCCAATGAAGTCTGAGGTGCTAAGCTAAACATGTACTCCAGTGAGCATAAACTCACATTGTAGACACAAGCACTGGGTAAAACCATAAAAAGGACCAAAAAGGACCTAACAGCAGAATTCCTCAAATAAAAGTTAGTTAACATAAGTCAGCACATTTAAAGCTACTGTTGCTTAGTATCACTGCAACTGTTTGCACATCCAGCTTCTCTTGTATGAAAAGTGTCTGTACATATGACAGACGGCAAAATCCCAAGAAAAGCTTGACAATGAAAGAAATGCAACAATGTATTAGTTTAAAAATGTAACACTAACATGGGAGTAATTCGAACATAGCTTTTGTAATAAATACAAAGCAAATCATCAATGTGCAATAAAAAAAAAAAGTAATGCAGGCTATGTAGGCTAGTATTACTTGTTTTTCTACTTCGACTAGTATTTCTGATGTCAACTAGCAACAGCAGTATTGTTCAGTCGACTAGTCTCTCACATCCCTAGTTAGTTTGAATGTGTAAAAAATGCTAATGGTAAAAGACTGTAAAAAACCTGCTAACTGGTTAATGGCAAGTTCCCTTACTATATATGGTGAAAAACTATAATACATCTAAATGGACATTTTATGTACTTTTTTAACAAAATTCTGTTAAACATACAGATTCTAGAATTAAAAACGAAATCATCTTGCAATTTACAGTGGGGGAAAAAAAAGTACAATTCCCTGAATGACACTTTACATTTCATGGTATTTTGTTCTTGTTAGTTTTTTGTTTTCAGTTATGTACATTTGGGTTTTGTGGCACATCTTACGCTGTTTATTTAATGCTTATTGCATTATGTTAGCTTTGCGTGTATTACCATGATGGTGTTTTGTATTTGTGTGCATGACACTATGCACCTTCTATTTATTAATATATACCTCAGCTTGTGAAAAAGCTACTTACTGTATGATGAACTGTAATTCATCATGTCTCTTATATCACCAGTATAATTACAGTCGATATCATTATATTATACAGGTATAAAACAGATTTTAGTACTTTAGTCTGATGGATTTCAATGTAGTCATGTAAAACCTAAAATGTTGCTATCGTTTTTACCATAAATTTCACATTATTACATTTTTGGTTTTACAGTGCAGACTGATTACTATCAGAAGAGGCTAATAGACAGTACACAACCTAATAAGGGTGTGCTAAAACAACAGAATGAGGGAAATAACAGTGTCATTGTATGACTCAGTAAGGAGATTTTGAAAGGAAGGGCTAGATGTAAACGTCAGGCCTTTGAATGCTAAGGACTGAGAAACAGTGAGACATAAAAGGTTGATTTTCCTCTTTTTTCATACGTTTATCACTGAGCTGCAGGGCCGTATCCTGGCTTAATATCCCAGATTTGCAGCACTGCTCCGACCCACAGACACAGCTACCACCAAATCAACACTGCCACTATCAGCAGAATGGACACTAGCCAGTGACTCCCACTGGGCACTAAATAGTGGCCAATAACACTGAATCTGAGCCAGGCATAGAACAAAATACCATCCGCACTGGCCAGCTAAAGGCACATATAACACTGAGATGGAAAACAGAAGAGGTATCGGAGCCAGAAAATAAACATTTCATCTAGTCAGTGACAACGTCTAGGGTTTCTGACCTAAAATAAGAAATTTGTGTTCAGTATCAGAGAATCTGAATGGTGTCTATAGCTTCACTGGCTCAACAAGGTGGCTGACAATCAATTGAACAAATCTTTATTTGATAGTAAACACAGACTGAAATAGCTCAGTCTCTCCGGTTTTAAAGAAATAGCTCACCCAAAAATGACAATTGCATGTTTTATTCATTCCAAACTGTCTTCGGTTATTTTTGAAGCTTGTAAATTAACAGCATGTCTGTAAGAACATAAAGGTGTAAGAATGATGACAATGTCACTTGTTTTCTAGATGAACTATCCCTTTAAAAGCTCTAAATGAAGACTGTTTCTTCAGGGAGAGACATTTCAAGCACTTGGAAACACTGATTTACAATCGGTGGGGCTAGAGGTCATGTTTCTCAAGAGGCATCTCAGCTAGTCTGTACTTCACCTGCTCTTAACCTTTGAGGTCAGACATCACAAATACACAATGCTAATTGAAAAGAGCAGTCAATATTTTTCTATCGATCTACAGAATGCTTCAGATGCTTTAGTCCCTGGTTGCAAGTAAAAAAAATATATGAGGACCAATACGAGAGGAATATAAGAAGGGATAAAAAGAAAAAAAAAGTGCTTGGAAAAAGTTCAACCTAAGGTACAACAACAAAATGAACTATGTGGTCTATAGTTAAACCAACTAAAATAGCACAAAAAGAGGAGGCCACAACACGAATGCCCATTTGGTAGAGATTATTCTCTTGGGAAAGTAATTAATTCATAACTTATTCATCCTGAATCTGTTTGGACACAGCATGGACTATGGGGATGCGTTGTTTCAATATAAAAGTCTTCAGTCTACTCCAGTGGAGACGGTGATACATTTTCCCCCCTCAGGATTCTTTGATGAATATAAAGTTTTATATTTTACATGTCTTTAATCTTTACTATTTTGAACAATTTAATGTAACTTATAATGTAAAGTATTTCTTTCTTTCTTTCTGTTTGTTAATCGTATCACAAACATAAGAAACTGCTTCCAAAAATAAATGCATACATACATAAATCTTAATTCCAAACTTTTGCCTGGTAACGTATGAATAGGCCTTCAGGTTAACTCACTAACCCAAAAGGGCCCCAAATAATGCAGGCATTTGGGTGGGTTTATATAGATGCACAACCCCACAATAAAGGTCATGTTGAGCAAAGACTCATCTGTTACCCCAGACAGCACTGTAAAAAAGCTATGCACGAGTGTTCACATTCCCTGGACCTTCAAAAACTTGTCTTATGGAGGAATTGTACTCTTCTATCAACACATTTTCAGTCTATTTAATCCGTGGATATTTGGCCTGCTCAGGGTGACAGGGCAATCTCACGGCAAAAGATTCTGGGTTATGTCCGCTTTGAGCGAAGGCTGTGTCACATTCCGTGGCAAGCAGCGTCAACGCACGGCTCTCGAACCCACATCTCTAATCCTCACTGCCTGCCAAATATAAATAAATAAAACTACGGTGGTTTTCAGTAACCTTTACATCCCTCACCCCATCAACCACTGACAAGCCAACACATAAACGCTTATCTCCACAGAACAAGGGTGAACATTCAAATGATTGCATGAGCGCGGGAGGAGAGCTGGCCGCAGTGGGCGTACTGGCAGACTCTTAGCAGACACACGGAAGAGGAAAAACAGTGGGATCAGACCGAGTCGGATTAACAGAAGCAAGAGCCGTATCGTAGCCCGCACTTCCTGACGAGTCAAAACGGTTCACCTTGAGAAAGACACCAGCTGAATTAAGTTCCGCGGCTGTTTTCCTCTCTCCACTCTTTCTATTTCTCTCTCTCTGCTGGAATATTCCGCGTGTTGCTGTAACAGCATGGTGTGCTTTTCAGTTTTACCGGCAGTCATCCAAATTAAAACAATTATAGAGCTAATTGCCCGTTAGGTGGAGCCTGCCGGGGCGTCCATGCTCTGATTTGTAGAATCACTCATGCGGGTCGTCCTCCACTGTGATGAGCCGCCTGGTCTTGCTGGTGCCGGAGCCAGTGCCGGCCGGCTGATCAACGGGCAGATGGGCAGGGGTTGGCACAGGTGCCCACCGTGATGCAAATTAGGCCTGGCACTGGCGCAGTGTGAAGACAGGGGAGATTGAGCACTGTGACGCAGAGACGGTGTGCCATATGGAGCTGAGGCTGACTGCTCTGTTTACCAGTGGTCGAAGTCAGTTATACACATGCAAGCGGGCCGAAATGCGTTCAACTGTGAGCATAAGCCAACAGAGCGTCCCAACAGCAGCACAGGCCAAAATTCCGTCACACGACATGTGACCGACCAGCGACCCATCGCTGCAGTTTAGCATGTGCGTCAAATCAACAGTCATCCATCATGACCTTTACATGTGTGGGAGAAACTGTTCACAGCTGAAACAGCCTTCATATGAAAATTAAAATTTATGAATTTACTCACCCCCACATCGTTCCAAACCTGTCTTTCTTTCTTCGGTGGAATACACAATATTCCACCGAATATTAATCACTCTTTGAATGAAATTACAATGAACAGGGACTGGAGTTTTCAAGTTTCATACAAGACCCAAAAACACCATAAAACAGGGGTCACCGAACTCGGTCCTGGAGGGCCGGTGTCCAGCAGTGTTTCGCTTCAAACCTAATCAAACACCTGAACCAGCTAATCAAGGTCTTACTAGGAACACTTGAAACTTCCAGGCAGGTGTGCTGAGGCAAGTTGGAGCTTAACTCTGCAGGACACCAGCCTTCCAGAACCGAGTTTGGTGACCCCTGCCATAAAATAAATGTTGTTATTCATACAATACATGTTGTTGATCTGATTTACAAAATTGAATTATTTGTTCACCAAACTGACTCGCCTGATTCTCGCTGACTCAATAATCCAGTAAATCAGTGGATAAAAACATTTTGAACTATTTATCACAAGAAATTACTGCATGACTTCAGAATATACTGTACGAGTCAAATGGACCATCTTTCATGGTGCTTTTGTGTCTTTTTGAAGCTTGAAAGCGTCAGTCTCCATTCATTGTATTTGCATGAAAAAAAGAGTGAAGAGAATATATTTCAAAACAACATTTTATGTTCCACAGAAGAAAGTAAGTCATACAGGTTTGGAAAAACATAAGGGTGAGAAAACTATTTTTTTGATTCATTTGAACTGTCCCTTTAAGGGAGACACACAACAACAAAGACAGAAGAGAAGAGGACAAAAGCAAATACAAACACAAAGAACAGTAGTCTTGCCTCAGCAACCCGAATCCTTTCTTCTTGGTCTTCTTATCCAGCTCATCACCGATCTCCTCTGATTTATTCTTCTCTTTCTCCTTTCCTTTGCTTTTCAACTTGTCTTTCTTCTTGCCTTTGGCCTTCTTCTTCTTGACTTTCTTGTTCTCCTCATTGTCTCCCGCACCTTGTCTGTAGGAGCCGCTGGCCGGAGTATCTCGTCCAGAGCTCTGGTCCGACCCCTCGTCTGTTTCAATACAACAAGCAAACAAAAAATATGATGAATACACAGTGGCCTACAAGTGGGCAGCACAACCAAAATCATATACATTACACATTTCTTGTGTTTCTATAACATAAACTGAAAATAATCTACCATAACATAAAGAGCATAGCAAAACCTCAACTGGTTTCATAGATTTCTATATTCACACAGTATTCTTCAAACCGCCTAGTCCTAGTGTAGACTATATCTCGAGTCATGGAAATATAAAAGATCTCTTCAGAGATATTTTTTCAGCTAATCTGCCCTGGACCATCAAAAAGTTGCTCACATTATCATAATCAGAAGGAAAAATAAACAAGGGACACGGATAACTGGATAGAGAGATGGGGAGTAAAGATAAG